CCCTAACCACTCCCTCTCATCTCGTACCGGAACTTCCCTTTTCCCTGTCAAGAGATCTTGGATACAGTGTACACAAAAGGTATAATGAAATACATAATTTTATAATACAGATAATAAGAATCAATGTATTTGAAACAAAATCATACTCTTTCATATACATCAACTCTTAACAATACTGTTACTCATATGATTTGATTCAACAAGGGCCTATGAATCCAACATGTCTTAAATTCTGCTAAGAACGTGCTTTCCACTGCCAATTATGCCACCACCCCTCTCCTCCCCTCCCACCATTTTTTCAAGCTTATTTACTCTCCCACCCTCCACCCCCTCCGTCAGCCCCAGGCACTGTTCACTTTCTGGTGTTTTGAACAATAAAATATTTTCCCAATGTCGTACATGTATCTTTCTTTGAATTTGTCTTTTTTTTGCATGTTAGGCTTCTGTCTTCACACCCGTCGAACGTACGCTGCCGTGGTCGACAAGGCGCCAGTGTTGTCGGCAGAAGTCCTTTTGGACCATTGACAGCAAAGTAGACCACGAAGCGGAATATCTCATAATCAAAGTTGAAAAGATCAAACAAGTCCAACGGTTTATATATCTCGGATGTATAATGCCATCTGATGCCAAATGTTCCACAGAAATAAAACGAACAATTGCAATTGCTAAAGCTAGTTTCGATAAAATGAGCCCAATCCTGAAAAATAGAAACACATCAATGACTACCAAAATGAAAGTTCTGAAATGCTATTCACGGTCAACCCCCTAAAGACGGTGAAAATAAAATTGAAGCAACAGACATGTGGTTTCTTAGGAAACTGCTGAGAATATCGTTAAAGGGGAAGAAATCAAATGAGGTAGTACTTGATGAAGCACACTGTTAAAAACGATCCGGAAAAGACTATTGTGTAATTTTTGGGACGCCTGAATAGACATATAGGTCTTGAACACCTAGCTCTCACTGGTAAAACTGAAGGCAAACGAAGCAGAGTAGGCCCAGAACAACCTACTTAGAAAACCTAAACGGATGGGTAGCTGGAAAGATCAGGGAAACGTTGCTTTTTTAAGAGCGTCCGAGCAAAGGAATGACAGGAGAACCATGATCGCCGATGTCTGCCGCAGATCTGGCTCCTGATGATGATGATAATGATGATATGATGATGATGATGAAGATGATGATGATGATGATGATGATGATGATGATGATGATGATGATAACAAAGTTCCTTTTGGACCAGTTTTGTTCACAGATTTCTTGCTTTAATTTTGGAATCGATTTTTGGTGTTGCCTCTTTCCTTGGTAACATGCACAGAAGTCTTTTAAAATAGATAAAATGTGCTATTATAAAGACCTTTTTTTGCATTTGTTGCCCCCTGCTCACCACAGGGAGATGGAAGTAAGACACGCCAACGTTTCCAACTACTCACTTGTATTAAGATTCTTCTTTTATTTGTCCGTATTATAAATACATGTACACCAATTTGAAACACGTCTGAGAGCATGTTAAGTTCCCCCCCCCCTGCCCTCTTCCCATTAAAAAAACGCCCCTCCTAAGACAATTCACAAGCAACGTCTTAAAACACTAAACAAGCATAACGAATCATTCTCTAAATGAGGAGTGTTCGGAAGAACTGAACCTTTCTCACTTGCATTGATCAACTTGTATTCGATGCTGCTAGTGACTATAATTAATAATCTAATCGTTCTTTCCTCCGATTTCTACCTGGCGAAAAACAATTGCCTGTTCTGCTTGTCCAAAATGGGCCTGGTATTGCAAACTTGTTTCAAAAGAAACACACCTGTGCTCACATGCGTCGACTGAAGTTTTTTGCCGTATTGACGGCAATCATCACCTGGCTTCATGTGGCTCTAGTCTAGTGTGAAGGCGTTGGAACTAGCGTGCTTATATTACCTGTATCTAAAAAAAGGGGGGAAAAAAACGACGCCGGAGAACTCAATGGGTCGATTCCCTGAATATGCAAAGACCATGGTGTTCTTTACTATGGCGATAGCTGGAGCCTTCATCATATTGTTTAAAAAACTCCTCCTCCTCCTTCTCCTCCTCCTCCTCCTTCTTCTTCTCCCCCTTCTCTTCCGCCCCCTCCTCCTCCTCCTACTACAACTACTACTACAACTACTACTACTACTACTACTACTACTACTACTACTACTACTACTACTACTACTATTATTATTATTTGTAGATTTATAAATTTCAAGACTTTTGTCCCGAAGTACAGGTCTGTCATGCACTCATGTGATCAGAACGCCTATGCCTACGTCCTCCATGATAAGAACAGTATTGAAACCAAGTGCTCAGTTTGAGTTACTGTAGAATTAGGAAATGTGTGTGCAGAAACTGCGACGACAATGTCTGATGGTCGACCAATACGAACACACCCAGAGTCCAGTGTATATTATTATTATTTCACGCCAGAACTTAGCCGGGTATAATAAAGTGAACCAACTTTTCCACAGAGTTGTCCAACTTTGTCTTCTGCGTACACCGTCAAGGGGGAAAGTCAAGTTGTTCCCGCATCCTATCTGGACATTGGGGGTTGTCTTGTTAGTGAGACAACTTCCTGGGCCTTCGACATAATATTGTGGTAGGGTGGCCAGTTCCTTTCCATGACACCTTTACTTCCCCAACTCGAAGTCTGGTATCCATCACTCCTGGATGGGCAGGATGGGACGAAAAAAAATCCATGTCCGAACCGAGGCTCGAATCTGGACTTTCAGGCGAAGGATATGCCCAAAAAATAAAAAGAAGAAGAAAATTGAACGTTTGTATTGTATTGACGGAAAGGGGGGACAGGGGAGTCTCTTTTTCTATAGCCACTGAGGCAGGGAGTCCAGTGTATATTATTATTATTTCACGCCGTTGACAGCACAGTGCGGTGCCGGAATGAAATAATACGCCGTCCAATCCACGGCGGCTGTACACTACACAGCGAGATGCCGTGGTCGATAAATATGAAAGTGAAAGTTTTGGTTCTAATATTTGTTTTACGGCGCTTGCAACACAATAAGGTCATATAAGTGCCGAAGATTAGTGGTGTTACAAGAAAGTAACAAACGCAAAAAGAAGCTGGAGAGATCAGGACGAAACATGTTTGATAGGAAAGAAGGAGCTAACCACACCAGAGCGCCCATCAGCCACCCACAGTAAAGGATTAGTAGTGCACATAGACAGCAGTGGTTATTTTAATGCGCGGCGCCGCGCCATCCACTGCGGACAGCGTATAGTGGAGGGGTAGGAAAAAGGCTTCTATATTCATCATGATATTTCAAGCAGTCAGAAATCTATAGCCACTCACACATCACGGTAAGATGGCTGATGTAGATTGCAGTATCTATCCGGTGACGTCTCCGACGGAGAAAGACCAGTCCAATTGCTTTGTGCCTCTAGACCAAGAAAAAAACTCCATAATTTGATTTGGTATTTTGCAGTTGAGTTTGAAATGTTCTTGAAAATAATTGATTTGCGGCTGTTTTAGTGGCTATATGAGTGATCTGCAGCAAATAATACGCAGTTTGACCACCCCC